AACCAAAAGACTGAAACTCAAAAGTAAACTGCCTGGGGGTTTTCTGGCTTGTTGTATAGACTTTAAAGGTCTGATCTTGAATTTATTCCCATGCAAGTAACTCGGTGCTCAAAGCAGTGGAGCTACACCTGATTTACTCTGGCATATGCATCTGCGTTTGGTTGCTGGTTTTTAAAAGGTGAAAACCAAACTGGAGCTGGTATAGCTGAGACATCTGGGGATGCGTTCCCTGCTGTCGCCTGTCCCTCAGGGCACATGGCCCAGGGACCGTGGCACGCTCCTGCTTGCGTGAGGGTGCAACCATCTATGTGGTGGAGGGTTGGGGATGTGAGGAAGGAGGACACATGTCAAAGTTTCATTTAAGAGAGCTGGCCGTGTGGATTTCTCTCTCCCCAGTAGTTTGAACTATTCAAACGTAATTTTGGACCAAGAGAAGCGGCAATACACGGCTCTAAAAGCAATAGAGAAATGTGTGCTTACATACTGGAGTAAGAAGTCTCCTTGTTTCTTCGTTCGCAGGGTATGACAGGACGAAGGGGACCGATAGGAGTTAAGGTAAGAGGTGACGGGGATGGCACCTGGGGCTCCTGCCACGCCACCGTCCAGCCACATCACCCAGAGGGATTTGCCAAGAGAAAGAGGCATGCAGGCTTTGCTTCTTCCTCTTTGCCTCCTCTCTTCTCCAAATTTCCCCCCTCCTCCTCAGGCTCATCTCCCTGTATGCGCCTCCTTCCTCTCTGCCTCCTCTCTCCTCCAAATTTCCCCCCTTCTCCTCAGGCTCATCTCCCTGTATGCGCCTTGCTGGACTCAGTGCAAAACCAGCGATCCACGTCCCTGGGGCTGCCTGTCCTCTGCAGCATTCCCTGGTCAGATGCTTCCTCTCCGTGTGCTGCTCCAGCAGCGTAACGAGGCCAAAGCATAAAGGAGATTGACGCCTGTTGATTGCAGGAGGCAAATTACCCCACCAGTTCTGTCCTCATTCTCTGCTATGACCATGTCCAACCAAAACCCCAAACAACTGTTCTTCCCTGCTCTTTATGCAGCTGTAAATGCCCTGAGATCTCCTTTCCCTCCCCATGGTGTTGACCACACCCCCCCATGCTAACCTGCATTGTCCTTTTTTGCACTTCAAGGGTACCAAGGGCTCGATCGGCCAAGCGGGGCCGGTTGGCGAACAAGGCATGAGAGGGCCACAGGTCAGTGAGCTTACAGCAAAGTAAATGTCTTACCTCATGATGCCGTGCATTATTTCACCACAGTCACTTCCTCAAAGAGTCTTAGCAGCAATGACTGTCGGGATTTGGGCATTTTTGGGTGCGCCGTGGGCTAGCCGTCCTGCCCTGGGAGGTCAAGTCTGCCATTGCATTCACACCACCCGAAGTGTGACGTGTTTGAAAAACATCTCTCGGGCGCTGTAGCGTTATCTTTCCCTTGCGATCTTGTGTAGCACTGGTGTGTTTCTGCCCATGCGTGTTGATCCAATCTCTCTTTTCTCTCTGCACAGGGTCCACCCGGCCAGATTGGCACACCAGGCATAAGAGGAGAGCAGGGAGTTCCTGGACCAAGGGTAAAGCCTTCTGCTGCTTCTCAACCATCCACCCAGAACATCTCGCTGAGCTAATAAGACGCACCCGATGTGTCTTTCCATTCCCCCCCCTAGGGCTCCAACTCTGTTTCACTCTCTCGTAACACACTCCTCCAGTATGATTCTCCTCTCAACTTATGCTTAAGATTTCTTGATCAAGAGTTATAGCAGAGAAAGAGTTAAAACCAACCACAAAGGGGTCAGGACTTCAGCATTTGGCCCATTACGGTTTGCGATCTTAATTAAAGAACATCCCTGAGTGACCGGCAGGGCATCCTTCATGATGTTTCAACCTCTGAAGACAGAGCATGACCATCTCACGTGCTTGCTGGGGGCTTCCCATGCATTTATTTCTCCCTCCTGCTGCATACCCCAGCAAGAGTCGTGGCCATAAAGCATTGATCTGACCTGGTCCTTCAGCTCTTCCCAACCATGAATTAGACTTCTGAATTGCCTAAGGTGCTTCGAGAGGCACCAGCCTTAGTAGTTAATACATGTTTTCTATGGTCACCCAATCCTCTAGTTTCTGGCACCCAGTTTTCTCGACACATCGCCAACATACATCTCCCTGTTTCCTTTCCAGGCTGGTGGTGGACCCCCAGGACCCCCAGGAGAGCGGGGCAGGATCGGTCCCCTGGGCCGAAAGGTATGTCTTCACGAGTATTGGGCATCAGCAACTAAAACAGCAATGAAGAGCTTCTGGATAGGAGCAAGCTTAAAAAAATACTTGAGACGAACCTCTTGGCGCTAAATTAGCTCCTTTTCACTGGCTTGCACAATGTGAAACAGAGCGAGGCCTGTGCTCTGGTGGTTTCATTCGGCTCCCATTTCATTGAACAGAGAGGCAAAAGAAATCGAGTAACCGAGATCCCCAAGTAATTTTCCAGGGCAGATTCTGAGCCGATGCCCACATGGGAAGGTGGTTGTGCTGGATCTCTCCAGACCCTCCGTACGGTTTTATCTCTCCAGATTCACACTTCACATACACTGGTTCATTTCCATGGCTGCTCCGCTGTCCATTTGCACCGGCAAAATCCCCAGAGCTTGGGAGCTTTTATTTTTGCAGTGTTTATAAAAAGCAAACATCACCCTGTGATGGGAGCTGGGTGGTCTCCCATGTCCCATTACTCAGCTTTCCTGAAATCACTAAAGGTCCCACGAAGAGCAAGCATTTTGTAGCATTGCTGGCTGTGTAGGTCCAGTCATAACTTTCTGCTGCAAGGACCGCTGCAGACTGGTCTATGTAAAGAAACCAGTGCTGATGGGGTGAGAAAAGCTCAGAGTTGCCTGGAGTTTCAACACATGCTTTAGTAGATGCTCCTGTTTTCAGGGTGAGCCTGGAAACCCTGGACCCAAAGGATCAAATGGACAGCAGGGCTCACGAGGAGAGATGGTAAGTGTGGCCGTGCACCCACATCTTTAAGGATGATGAACCCTCTCCTGTGGCCAATGGGCCACAGCCCTTGGCAGCAGAAGGTTTAGCTCCCCTATGGACCTTGCATCCTCCATAGTACAATGCAAGAGAGGGAAATCAGCTTCATGTCTTCAGCTGGCGTGAGCACGGTAACGGTAGTCCCTTCAAGGAGGTGAATTATATTCACTTGAAAAGTGAATTTTAATATCTCGTAAATCAGTCTGCAGGGCAGAGGCTGTCCAGAGTTGCTTGGCCTTGTCCTGGCTCGTTGCGTGAGGCATGGGTAGACACCCTGAGCTGACCCCGTGTATTCATCCTAAGCAACCTATAAAAAGGACGTATGGACCAAGTGTGAGCTTTCCTGGGGTCTGATTACTCTGTATAATGAGGAGCCAACTGAGGAAAAAATGATTTGTGCAAAGTGCAGGGCAGAGGCTGTCCAGAGTTGCTTGGCCTTGTCCTGGCTCGTTGCGTGAGGCATGGGTAGACACCCTGAGCTGACCCCGTGTATTCATCCTAAGCAACCTATAAAAAGGACGTATGGACCAAGTGTGAGCTTTCCTGGGGTCTGATTACTCTGTATAATGAGGAGCCAACTGAGGAAAAAATGATTTGTGCAAAGCAAGGGAGGAGACCTATAAAAAGGACGTATGGACCAAGTGCGAGCTTTCCTGTGGTCTGATTACTCTGTATAATGAGGAGTCAACTGAGGAAAAAATGATTTGTGCAAAGCAAGGGAGGACAAGCTTTGGTCGGATAGATCTATAAGTACACCCCCAGCATTGATTGACCTCCTAACCTGCTCCCTATTGCTGACTTCCACCCGGGTTTTACACATTATATGTTTATACGAAGCAGGTTTTAATTCAGATTTGTAGTTTTGGCACCACCTTTCTGTGCCTTTTTTTTTTTTCCTTGGCACCACCCTTCTGTGCTTTTTTTTTTTTTTCCTGCAATAATTTCATCTATAGAAAGGCTTCTCAAACGCCTGTAGCATCAGTGGGTTCTTTCTGTTGATGCCACTGGATCTGTGAGGCTTATGTTATTCACATATGACTGCATATTAATGACTTTGGCTTTCCAATTTTAGGGTGATGATGGTCGAGATGGCATTGGTGGCCCAGGTCCTAAAGGCAGAAAGGTAGGTGTGGTGTACGCTCAGCATGCCCATCTACCAATGTGAGTTACCAAGGACGAGGTAGCCAAGGTCTCCAGTGCAGATGGGCAAGGGCAGAGCCTAGATGAAGTCAGATACGTACAAGGACAAAAATCAGCCCTGTGTGTACCCTGGTGAGAAAATCAGGCAAGACTCTTCAAACCTTTACCCTCTGCCTTTGTCTTGAGGAGGAACCTTAATGTTTTTGTACCTTTTAGCCAGAGAGCCCCATGAATGTCTGTGGGACGTTGAAAACCATGTGCCAGCATCTCTGACAGCTCCTCTGTAGTTGAAAATAGCCAAACAGGAGCAACCAGTCCTTAAAAAGAGTGTCTGTTTGCTTTTCGTGATTCATATGAGGAACAATACTGCAAAATTAATTTGCAGCTCTCTATTCCCTCCATCATTTAATTCCTTCAGTTGTTACAGCTCTGCCTGAAGAATCAGGTTCATTTTCTAAAACATATTCAAATAAACCTTTATGTTGTTTCAGGGAGAACGCGGCTTCATAGGCTACCCAGGGCCCAAGGTACGGTGCAGTTCGTGAGCTACGCGTTCGTTTTCCAAGCAATGTAGCCGTTACCTATGGTCCCGTGCAGATTTAGAGCTGTTGGTTGTGTTTTTCCCCAACCAGGGTGGACCTGGTGACCGTGGCGGTGCTGGAGGCCCCGGCCCTAAAGGAAACAGAGGCCGCAGAGTAAGTTGGACCGTGACACAATTTTTCCCTTCTGCATGAGTGGCATGAAAGATGTACACATCTTTTACCCCAAGTGTTGACCCATGCTCCTGAGAGTCCTCCTGCAGATGTTCATGGAGAGGACTTCTCTGCTCTCTCTCTCTAGGGAAATGCAGGAGATCCTGGGACACCCGGTCAGAAAGGAGAGGTTGGATACCCTGGACCTTCTGTAAGTGTTCATTGCCTTGCTGATGGAGCTTCTGGCTTCCTCCCCTGAAGAGACTCCCCATTGCTTCTCTGAAAAACGTGGCGGTCCTTATCGGTGCCAGGGGTTGACAAATATGCCCGTCATCATCTCCTGCTGATTTCAAGTCGGGCAAACTCCTCTTTATTTGTCTTGGATGTGTCTCTGTAAGTTCCTAACTAGCTGTTTATCACTGATAAATATTCACCCAGCCTCAAACCGCAATGCACAGAAGAAGGAAAAAGTGAAGAGACAGGCTCTTAGCAGGCACTAGATTTCCCCATGGCACTATGCCACTTTAAGCTCCTTCTAGGAAGTTCTCAGCTCTTTGTCATTTACTACCCAACACAGGTTATGGTCCATGACCAAATCTGACTGGCACAGAGTACCCTAGAAAGGCCAATGTGACTTGGCTTTCTTTGCACGTGAACCTAGATCATCGTATATGTCCCTGTTGGGGCTGGCCTCAGACAGGTGTACTCCTCACATGAGAAAATGTTTCCATCCGTTGCTGGAAACACGACTGAGAACAGGCAGGTTTTCCCTTAGTTTTTGCATGCGCAGTGGTTAAATAATTATTCCAACTGGGTTCATGGGGCACCCTGAAAATACACTTTGCACTCAATTTTTCTTTATTTTTTACACAGGGACTTAAAGGCGATAAAGGAGAATCCAGAGATGTAAGTGTGGCATCATTTCTCTCTTGTTTTGAAAGACTCTTTTGTTAGCTGTGTCACATCTCTCTTTTCCCCCCTTTCTCCCTCTCTTTCATTTTCTAAAGCAATGTGCGCTTGTGCGGAACATCAAAGACAAATGCCGTGAGTACATCAATGCTTTGCTAATTCCCCGTCTCTACCCTTATACACCCATCATGTTACACAAATGGCACTGACCAAACCGCTTTTTTCCCCTCTCTTTTCCACAGCTTGCTGCTATGGTAAGTCACCTTCAGTCCTTCAAACCCCAGTGTGACTGTGTGCTAGAATTGTTGCCCTCCCCACATATGTGGTATGAATGATTTACCCCTGCCAAGGACATGGTCCTTGCACCCTGATAACTATTTGGGGCACTATTTGTTCCCAACGGATATTTCTGCAGGTCCCAAGGAGTGCCCCGTCTTCCCAACCGAGCTGGCCTTTGCTATCGACACCTCCTCGGGCGTCGTGAGGGATGTTTTCAACAGGATGAAGCAAACGGTGCTCAGAGTGGTCAACAACCTAACCATCGCTGAGAGCAACTGTCCTCGGGGTGCCCGGGTGGCTCTGGTCACTTACAACAATGAGGTCACCACAGAGATCCGCTTTGCTGATGCCAGGAAGAAATCAAGCCTCCTCCAGCAGATCCAAAACTTCCAGGCGACCCTGACCACGAAGCCACGCAGCCTGGAGACCGCCATGTCCTTTGTGGCCAGGAATACCTTCAAGCGTGCCCGAAGCGGCTTCCTTATGAGGAAGGTGGCTGTCTTTTTCAGCAACGGGGACACAAGAGCCTCCGCGCAGCTCAACGACGCCGTGCTGAAACTCTACGATGCTGGGGTCATGCCCGTGTTCCTCACCAGCCGGCAGGACCCGGTTCTCACCAGAGCTCTGGAGGTTGGGATCATTCACCCTTTCTTTCACTTTCTGCTCGTGACCTCAGTCTGGTTTTCTGGGGAGATTGATAGTGTTTGCTCCTACAGGCAGTGGCTGGCTTCCACAGACCTTTCAAGTGTTAAGCACTGAGAAAGCATTTCTAGCTAAATTCATCTGGCATGTCTATCAGGAGAGAAATCCGAAACACGGCGCATGTAGTGAAGTGCTAGTGAGGTTATGGTAGTCATTTGTTTCCCGGATCATGGCTCTGGGGTGCAGATGTAGCACGAAACAGAAGAAAAGAGAGTCTCCAAGCAAGAAAGGTCTGACAGACAGGCAAAGGGTGGGAAGGTGGAAGTACGTTAGCTTTGTTGGCAGAGAGAGAGTGGACATACAGAGATTTAAAGCAGCAAAAAAGCTCCAGATGAGCACACTGTGCACCGGTTCGAGTGCTTGACCTTTTTCTTGGAGTTTATGTCTCTAAACTAGTCCTACTAACTGATGTCGGGGGCATTAGGCTCCTCCAAATGGGATCCACCAAAAGCAGCATGCTGAGTAGAGAAACTCTTAGAGTTGTGGATCTCTGTCTCCTACTTTTGAGCCGAAAAGAACAGAAGGCAGCATTACTAACATCAAGTTTTTCTGTTTCCATCTAACCAGATCAACAACACAGCGGTTGGACACGCAATTGTTCTTCCAACCAGTGCCAGTCAGCTGAATGAAACCATCCGGAGGCTCTTGACTTGTCACATTTGTCTGGGTAAAGCATCCAATTTCTCCTCTAGACAGTGCCAAATCCTTCTGGTCGCGCAGCAGTCGGTTGTCAGTGGTGCAGAAGGGAAGGCCAGTTGGGAGTCAGCCCTTTTGCTGCTGAAGACAAGGGATTCATATTCTTAGGTTGAGCAGAAAACATTGGCGTTGTGAACGAGGCTCGCTGGGCGTCCTCCGCTTTGTAAAGAGAAGCTCCTTTTTTGGCTGGTTCCCACTTTTACAGCCCAAATACCGATAGCTAAACGCTCTAAGATATGGCCTTCTGCCATTTATGACAGAAGGCTTCGGGGATCCCTTTGGATAAAGGAGCACGTAAAAATACTACATGCATAACTAAATGTGTTTTGGGATGAAATGACTTTGGTGTCACGTAATGGATCGGTGAATGTCCGTGGCTTGATAGTATTTCATATGACACAAGGGATTTTTACAGTGATGAGGGAGGGTCATCTTCAGTTCCTCCAGGTGAAACCTACTGTATTTCTTCCCTAGATGTGTGTGACCCTGATCCCATCTGTGGCTTTGGTAGTCAGAGACCTGTATTCAGAGACAGAAGGGCAGCCCCAACAGATGTAGACATTGACATAGCCTTCATCATGGATAGCTCGGAGTCCACCAGCCCTCTGCAGTTCAATGAGATGAAGAAGTACATTGCCCACCTCGTAAGTAACCTGGAAATCAGCTCTGAGCCAAAAGTATCTCAGCACCACGCAAGAGTGGCAGTTCTCCAGCAAGCTCCTTATGAATATGAAACCAACTCAAGCTTCCCACCAGTAAAAACTGAGTTTTCACTAACTGATTATGGATCCAAAGAGAAGATCATTAATTACCTTCACAACCAAATGACCCAGCTCCATGGCACGAGGGCTATAGGACATGCAATTGAACACACAATGGCTCATATTTTCGAAAGTGCACCAAACCCTCGGGATCTAAAAGTCATAGTTCTGATGATGACCGGAAAAGTGAATAAACAAGAACTTGAGTACCTGCAGAAGGTTGTTATCAATGCAAAATGCCAAGGGTACTTCTTCGTTGTCTTGGGCCTTGGCAGGAAGGTGAATGCCAAGAATATCTACAGCCTAGCTAGTGAGCCAAACGATGTGTTCTTCAAATTGGTTGATAAGCCAGGAGAGCTTCACGAAGAGCCCTTACTACGCTTCGGGAGACTGCTACCGTCTTTTATCAGAAGTAAGTATAACATCCTGCATTCAAAGAATTATGGAAGGGGCAACAGGTGACCTCAGAGGGGTTAATTTGCCAGGTTTGGTCTACCTGCCTGTTGGGTGGGTGGGCTCTAGCCTGACCACTTCTTTGGGCAGTGAGGCCCACTGAAGTTAGTCCCTTTTCATATGTTCTGTACTGTTTGGTCTCTTTGTTACTACTCATAGGTCTACTTAGTTGAGTATGTCTGGGTTTTGTTCACTTTGGCCTCCCCATCCCATCCCATGCAGCCTGTTGGTCCATCAAGTAGAGTTTTCGCTTCTGTCTGGCTTGACTTGGTCTCCATGGGTTCACCTGTGGGATCTGACCTAATCCTACCTGGCTTGCCGGTCACATCTGCAACACGTCCCATAGGATCTGGTCCTGCTGGGGCTATCGTCCCTCTGCAGCCCAGCAGCCTGCTAGCACTCCTCCTGAACACCCAGCAAATCTTTCTTCCCAACTTCAGCATAACCATCATGTCTAGCAGGCATTTGAAGAGCTCAGGCTGAGATCTGGAGTTGCTGTATGCAGATTTAAGGACAAGATGAATAGGATTCTTTGCTCAGGGATAAATAATGCTGCTGTGTTTGGGACGTGCAGATTGTGACTTGAAAATTTGATTCTCACCTTAGCTAGAGACCCCAGGCTGGATCTCCAGCTAGAGCCAGCTGCCAGAGATCCTAAGCAGACCTAGCCAGCAAGGCCAAGAAATGGACCTTTTCTAGGAAAGCTTGTTTTATCCAAAAAGTCCTGAAAATCAGTCCACTGGGCTAATAAATCACTGATTCAGGAAAGTCTTGCACTAAATAGGAAGCAAACGTCTTTCCCTGGAATTAAATGTTTAGGTTTTCTCAGTTTGCTTTTTCCATTTACTGCTTAGAGTGGTCCTGGAAACTCTTGAAAAAATATTAACCATGTGGTTGGAAATGCCTTGTTGTAAAAAAGCTGTTTACATGTGACAGACTAAGACATACAGCCCTCCGGTATCTTGAAGTTACTGCTCTCATGTTTGTAAATTGGAATAAAAAATCTCCCATAGCCCAGGATGCTGCAGTAACCACACCAAACATCAAGAGATATTCCGTAGCAAGCAAGAAGACTTGAGGGTTTTTTTTAAATCAAGAAGATATATATGTAATGTGTTGTTGGTAGGTAGCCGCCTTCCTCAACACAAGTGTTTAATGCCAGGCTCTCTCTGTCTCTAGATGACTTTGCTTTCCACCTGGCTCCAGAAATAAGGAAACAGTGCGAGTGGTTGCAGAGCGATCAGCAAACCAAGAGCCCGAGCCCCGGGCATGGCGGGCACAAAGCAGTGTAAGTAGTGGGTTGTCTGCGAGAGAATGAGCTTTGCTGACAGCCTGTCTGGGGGAGAAGCCTTCATTTCCCAGTCCCTGTTTGGAAAAAGAAAGAAAAAGCAACTTAAACGCTAACAAATCAGGATTATCAGTATTTTACTAGTTCCTTTAGTGCTGTGTCAAAGGAGCAACAGATATATCTAACAGAGAAGGGCAGACAAGTACACATGTAATTTTAAATTGGGATTAAATGTCATTTTTCTATATGTATAAGGGATATAGAATCATAGAATCGTTATGGTTGGAAGAGACCTCAAAGATCATCAAGTCCAACCGTATACCCAAAGCCACCATGCCCGCTAAACCCACTAAACCATGTCTCAAAGCGCTACATCTAAGTGTTTTTTGAACACCTCCAGGGATGGTGACTCCACCACCTCCCTGGGGAGCCTGTTCCAATGCCTAACGACTCTTACAGTGAAGAAGTTCTTCCTAATGTCCAGCCTGAACCTCCCCTGGCGCAACTTGAGACCATTTCCTCTGGTTCTATATGAGAGAGGTACATGCTACTGTCATCTTGCAGGTCAGGAATTCCAGAAATTACTATTAACTTGGGGGTTTCCACTCAACAAACTGTTTTCAGAGGCTGGGTTGCCCTGGACTATCTGATATTCAGGATCCAACACAGAATATATCCTAGTATTTTCTGAACAGCAGCGAAAGCTTGTGTCACCAAGACTCACTCGTCGCTGGCACAGAGCTGTTTTGGCTTTAGAAGGTCGACCCCTTTGAAATCAGGGATGCTACAGATCTGTCCACTGAATTCACCCGTCTGTGTGTAAAGTTGGTGTACAGACAGACTTGTGCCCCAAGTGATAGGTACTTCTCACTGCTTGGCTGTGGGCATATCTAAAGCTGACAAAGACTCCTGGCCTCGGAGGGGTTCTTGACAATGATTCTATGTCAACTCCTCTCCACTTCCAAAATTCTGCTTATATGGGGGGAAAAAAAAGCCATTACGAACTGTTTTTGCTTTGACAGGTACGTGGCACCCAACACAACCACAAGCCGGACCCTCAGCACCAGCACCACGGTCAGTGCGAGCATCAAGCCTGTTGCGAGCACCAACACCCGTGCCAAAACCACCACTGCCAGCACCACGGCCCAGACCAGAGCCACCGACCAGACCACAACCAGCACCGTGGTCCAGGTGAATGCCACCGTGCAGAGCGCGGCAAGCACTGCCACCCAGACCAAAGCCACCGGCCGCACCACCACGAGCACCACGGCTGCCGCAGCAGTCGGCAGGAGAAGACAAGGCGGTAGGTGCAAGGCAGTGCCTCTCGCTTGTCTGTAACACAACGGGTTGTGGCTTTTCTTCCTCCCTGAGAGGATTATTCCTATGGGAAATGTCACCAAGAGGCCATATTTCGTGCTTGCAGAAACAAGTTTTTAGGTGCAAAACTGGAAATCTGCCCTGCGGGGGTTAAAGCTTTGCCGACTTGCGTTGAGAATTTTGTGCAAAACCAGGTGGGGGACAGGCTACCTCTGGGCAAAACACAGGCAGGACATTTAAACATGGGACAATCCATCATCTGCTGCCTCGCTGCCTTCTCTTTCTAGTGTGGCCCATTTGCTTTCTGTGTTTTCTTTGTAGCATTACCCCTTGGCTAAGTTTTGCTATTTATGGTGATTCATGCAACGGCATTGTTTGAATTCTCCGTCAGCTAACATAAACAGTTAGTTCAGTTAGTTCACCACTGAAGCAGCATGGAGACCTATTTGGGAATACCACAGCTCTTCCACGTCAGCACAGTTCACGTAAAGGAGTTTTCCCACGTGTTTTTGCACAGGCAGATCCGCACTAGCTGAACAAGAAACAAAGAACATCTGTCAAAGCCCAGGAACACCTAACCAGTCAATCAATGCCTGTCCTCCTGCAAATAATAAATAAAAAGCAATCAGCTTTTACAAGGATAATGCTTTCATCAGCTTGCGAGGAACAAACATTATGGGTGCCTCTTGCTCCGCTGTCGCTTCCAAGCAGCATTTATAAAAGTCTCGTCCAACACTCTGCCATAGCAGGAAAACCTTTCCCTAATATCTTCTTTGACCTGTCTAAGGTTATGTTTGATCTTAAGCAAGCTTTGCTTGAAGATCTTCAGCAGTTGAGTGACTCCATTGCACCCTAGAGAAGGATCTGACTGGACACGTTTACAGTTGTTGGGAAAGTTGTGCTGGGAATGACATTTTAGGCTGTGTAAATCTTGTAAAAAAATTGCTTTGATTTGCTAGATTGCAGCAGATTATGAAAAAATAAATAGACCACTTGGTAAATTGTCTAGACTATGGAAAAAAAAGCCTCCCTGTAGTGTGCTGGGTTGGGCATCTGAGATAGCAAAGTCACAACCCGGTTTGCACATGCCGCAACCGGCTGCAAATTTATTTGCTGCGGACTGGGAAGGAGATCTTGCAGTGCTGGGACGCTTTTTCCTTAAGATCTTTCCTCCTCAAGTCCTTGCTTAGTGTTTCTTCTAATTTTGCATTGCAGCAAAGACCCACGACATCCAGATCACGGACGTCACCGAGAACAGTGCCAGGCTGCGCTGGGCCAGCCCCGAGCATCACAACGCCTACACTTTTGATATCACCATCACCTTAGCGCACGACCACTCTCTCGTGCAGAAGCAAAACCTGACCGGCACTGAGCATGTGATCCGAGGACTCAGAAGCGGACAGAAGTACCTTGTCGTCATTACCGGCTACCAGAAATCCCAACCCAAAGTAACCTACACAGGGACATTCAGCACAAGTAAGTACCTCTTGAGGAAAACACAAATTTTTAATTTTTTTCTTTCATAAAATGGACACAAAAAAATGCAAAAAAAAAAATACCTAAGGGATGGGGAATCACTTGGTACCAACGATCCCAGCCCTAGCAACGCTCAGTTGCGTCACGGCATGTCTGGTATCCTCCGGACCAGCAGCAGGACCCAGTTATGAAACGCTGCGAATATGTTTCTTTGAAAAATGCAAGTTGACACTTCAGTGGTGTTAAATCGACACAGATTGTGGGAGAATTAAAGCCAGTCCCAGAGAGGGGTTTGTCGTCTTATGTGTGCAGGAGGCTTTGCACAATGGGTCTTGGTGGGGTCCAACCAGCATTGCTGTAATTAATTACTCATAAGGGTCAAACTGGGTTAACACAGAGTAAATTCAGTCCAGACTGATCGCAAAAGAAGCAAGAAAATCTTCTTCTCCGATCACCATTTCCATAGCCACCTATCTGCTTCGCACACTATATTATCCAAAAAAACCGCACAAAGAAGAGATTAAACGGAGGGTTTAGTCCTTTGGCGATCCAAGTTCCATGTGTCCAGATCACATGTAAACCTCACCAAACCCTTTGGCATGGCCAAAAGTTGCTATGTAAGACACAGCCAATGTTTTTTATATAGTTTGGCATAGAGGTGACTTGGCTTGGTGGCGTGGAGAAGTTTGCGCTGGTGCTGCCAGTGCTGCATCTGGCTGCTTCTGGCACTTCAGAGCCAATTTCAGTGCCCATGGAGAGCCTTTCCATTGGCTTCAGGGGGTTTGGATCAGATCTGAAGTCTCTTACCTTCGTGAGCAATAAATATGCCCACAAAAATGTTGAGAAAAGACATACAATGTGTAGAAGTAACATTTGCATGTGCTGAGTGGGAGCTCTCAATGCCCAGGGAAGTTGCATTTCCCGTAGAGTAAATGTCGAACGGGAACAAATTGGGTAGGCAGTGGTGACACCACATTTGCCCACAAGCTGTGACCTGGACACTGGGTAGGACTGTCCCCCTTACCCACACCTTCCACCAGAGAAAAGTAAATCCAACCCTTCCGGTGGCTGCAGACCCCTCCTGCCCTCCAGCCCCATGGAAAATAGGCTACAGGTTGCCCTGGAAAGGGGCATGACGCAATAGGGTGCAGTCACGCAACGCATGACGCAATACAAACCACGTTCTCCTTTCCATCACAAGGGATTTCTTCCCCCGGTGACAATCCTCAGCAACGTAGTTCCTAGAGGGATGTGAGGCCATGATGGAAGGAGTGTGGTCAGAGAGGCATGCAATGCATGGACAGTCCTTGAGGGCTGCAGGGGAACAAGAGAAGATCCATCATGGACTATTTGCTCCCCTGGAGGATGCCTTTTGGTTTTTTTTCTGCCATCTCTAAGGTCAGAGGAGCAAAGTTAAGGCCAGAGGACCAAAGCTAAACTGGCCAGAGAGAGGCCATGCTCAGCTCCTTCAGAGCCCCTGCCCAGTCACAAGCTGTGGGGTGAGTGAGGGCCATCCAAAGCAATCGCGTGATGTCCTGAGGATGCTCCTTTGCAGTCACCCCCAAGGATGAGCCCGACCGCGCAGGAGAGCTGCCAGCTGGGGAGAACAAGGCAAACCCGTCCCCGGCGCAGCTGGGCGGTTGTGGATTACTCATCCCATCAGCTGCCTCCAATAAACATTTCTGAAACGTATGTGCTAGGATAAACAGATCCAGACCTGACTCCTGCAACTTGTGTGCGTCCCCCGCGCTGGAGCAGGGACCAGCGAGGTTATTAATGACTGCACCAAGGGCACTGCTGCAGATGCCCTTCCCCTTGGCTGACCCCCCCTTGCTTCTTCCTCCCCAGAGACCCTGGCGCAGACCAAGGTGTCCCTGGCCAACATGATGCTCAACACCGAGCCGCTGGAAGGGCCCGAGAACGGTGAGTATGGGCGATGGTGGGAGTGCTGGGCTGGGGAGCTCTGCCAGCACCCTCACCGAGAGCCTGGCCATTTCCACCGGTCTTCCCCTTGCCTGCTCCTAAACCCACCCTTTCTCAGAGCCTCACTGGGACCAAAGGATCTGCGAGTCCTTTGCTTTGCGGAGCCAACAGATCATGACCTAGATGACATCCTTGGCCATGTGGGTCTGAGCCCTGTATTGGGGTGGCTACCCCATGCTGGATCCAGAGCCCCCTGAAGTTGCTCAAACCGGGTCCTGTTTCCATCTCAAGGATGGGAGATGAGCCAGGGACCAAGCACTGGCTGCTCTTCAGGGACAAGCTGTGCCCCACGGCCTTCCCGGCACGTGTAGATGCAGAACATCATCTGATGCTTGCTCCCTCCCTTTCTCCCCATGGCTCCTTGGTTTAACACACTGCTCTCAACCAAGGGCTTGACCAACAGCCAAGGATTACAGGGGAGTTAGTGTCAAACATTTGCATAAATTTGGCTAATTGCTAGCCTCCCTCCAGTTTCACCCATCTGCCCATCCCCTGTTTCTCTGCCACCAGTGGTGTATGTAGGAAACCGCTAAATGAGCAATCTGTTAGCTCCTACTCTGTTGTTAATCCCGTTAACCTCTGTTAATAACCCATAATCACCGTAGCTGTTCACATGTCATCTCCTTGCTTTTGTTGACATCAAACTCATTATATCGGCGTTATTACACCCAGTTGTACTGTAAGTGCCAGGCTGCAACCCTTCCTCCAAGGGGCTGGAAGGGCTCTCAGCCTTCATAAAGCAGCACAGCCCTGTCGCAGTCACCAACTACGGATCTGGCATCCCAAACTCATCCTTGAATCATCACACTGATGGTTTTCTTTAAGCATTTTGCTTGCACTCTGGCTCCTTTTCTTCTTGAGGTGATTTGAGAGCATGGGGAGATGCTGCTGCTCAATGTGTTCGGCCAACAAGAGTTGCAAAGCTGCTGTTGGGCTCCGGCTGCTCGCGTTGAAAGGGATGAGCATGGACCTCATGCCTGGCTGTGGTGGTACCACTGGAGCTTGCTGCAGAGCGGAGGGGCCGAGGGCTTGTGCCGGGCAGGAACCATCTCATTTCAACCTTGCTGCATGTCCCATCATCCCACCCTTCCCATGCCTTCCCACTCATCCGGTCCCTCTCCCTGGCACCCACATCCCCTCTGAAGCCTTCACCTGGCTTGTCCCCACCGGGTGATCCATCCCCATCCCCGTGGCTTTGTTTAACCCCTTGTGTGCCAGCCCTTTGGAAACAAGGTCTGTAGGTCTGCCCGAAGGAAAATGGATGTGCTGTGTGCTCACCCTGCGCTTCCAACGCAGACCTCTCAATCTCATCTCTTCTTGTTGACCCACTCGCAGCAAACATCTCTGCCCGAGGATTTATGGCAGCCGGCAATTCCCCGAGGATGCTAATCTGAAGTTTTTCAAAAGGCTAAAGACATTAAACAGGGCAGGGGGGTTGGGATGGGTTGTTTAGCCGAGTCTTCTCTAGTTCTCTGTGCAACGGGAGAGACTTACGCGTAAATCTTCCGACAGACCTCAGAGGAAGCCCCAAATTCTGCCCTCCTCAGAGAGGCAAAGCAGCTGCTAGCACAGATGGCCTATCTTTGCTAAGAAAAAGTCTGGGATTTGGACCTAAATTATCATTTCTGGGCAGGAAAGGAACGTATGTTTAAATTCTCATCAAGCCTTAAAGTCTACCAGGTGCGGCTTGCCTTTAGAGATAAAATAAACACACTTAAGGATTCAAAGTTACTGCCAAGGCAAACAGCTTTGAAAATAGATGGGGGGAGCTGTGTGAGGGCCCAATCCTGTCTGCACCAGCAGGGAGTAAGGGGCTCCCATCACCTTGGTCCAGGGACTTGGGGCTTGCATGAACAACGAAATCAAGAGTGGGGAGAGGTAAGCTGGAGGCTGGGGAAGGTTTGCATCCAGCAAAAGAAATCACACGACAAGGAAATGCCACCAGTCCTGTACCGGGCTTTTTTTTTTTTTCCCCTTTTTTTCTTTTCAATATCTTTGCTTTTTCAGCTTTTAACCCCTTCAGAGTCACTTAACCTTTGCACCTTTTGAAATGCAGATTGGCCAGACCCTTGCTTGCTGGACTTTGACATGGGCATGCAGTGCAAGGACTATCAGATTGTGTGGTTCTTTGACTACAAAACCAAGATCTGCAGCCAGGGTTGGTATGGTGGCTGCGGTGGTAATGCCAATAGATTTGAGGCCGAAGCTGAGTGCATTAGCAAATGCTTAAGACCATGTAAGTACTGCACGGGGATTAATCTTTCTGTATTTTATCATATTGTCAAATAATGTCTGGATCGGAGAGAAAAACATCGTTTAATATCCAAACCCACGCACTTTTTCCTCCAGCAGCAGCCGAGAAAGCCATGCAGCAGCCACCCCTTGAGAAAAGATTATCGACAGGTAACATCCCCCCAAAAAATTAAAATAATCACAAACCAAAGCAAATCCATTATTTCACCTTGACCATTTCATAGCATGCATCCAAGCTTGTCCAATACAAGATCACCAGCACTATAGACTTGGTTTTCATCTGCTTCTTGACATGACCATGCCCTACCATCCGCTTTGCATGAGCAAGTCACCTTGCATGCGTGTTGTCACACCAGGAGACGTTGCGTTGCACGACCTCAGTGCAAGCCACAGCCGTATTGCAAAATCATGCTCTGGATTTCGTGAGAAGTGTGGGGGTTGCTGAACTGGAGCGTGGCATGGTCCCAAAGCAGTTTCTATTATCGCTGCATGACCAACCACTGCCACCGCTCAGCAGTGTGCCTTTGCTGACATGCGAAGAATTGCAAACGTTTCACCGTCTGTAACCAAAACACTTGATGGAAAATTACTTCACGGAACTTGGGTCTTGCGTGCAGATGTTTTCCTTTTGCACCAAAAGATATAAATCAAAGTCGAGGGAGGAGCCCACAGGAAAATGGCAATGACCTCCTCTCCTCAAGAAGTTTCTGAGATTAAGAGCTTGTGTTTACAAACCTCTTCAAGATCTGGGAAGGAAGTAGAGACTTGTAATCACCTGTGTCGGTTTAGCCAGGGGCTGGGATGGGAACCTGACCCCCGCAAAGCCTTGCTATCATAGCAGCCTCCTCCTTCTAGTGGTGCTTCAGGGCCTTTTGCAGAGATGGGAGGGAAACCTAGGCGTGAAGCAAGCTCTGGTACGTAACGGCAGGGCTTTAATCCTCGTAGGGGCATTACAGGGTTTGAAAAGGCAAATTAAGGACCCTTCCCACCTATTTGATTTTCTTAGGTGTATTTTAGGCTCCTTCAATCAGCCTCAGG